GCGCTTATTGTACGTCAAAACAGTGTATGTGTGGAAGTTGTCATAAGCAAGAGATGGTGTTGGGAATCTTCTACGTCATGATGAAGTGAGCTGGGACAGGAAACTGAAAAAGAGACGATGTATTATCCAGTGGGGCTTCCCAAGAGGCTCAGAATCCCGGGAACCCGCGATGGACAAGTGAAATCTGTGGTGTGCAATCGAGACAGGATCCTCTTTGCCATCCTCACTGAACGGGCGATTTGGATCTGGTTCAGCCGAGTAAGTTTTCTTTTCATTTGTCTGCGGATGAAGTTTTAATCTGTTCTCTCGCTGTTTTTTCCATTCGTCTTGCTTTGCATGTTTCTGATTTTGTCACCTTTCTTTCAATTTCTTAATTTTCTTTCTTATACCCTCTTTTCTTCCTCTCTACCTGTGGAATTATTATTATTGTTATTTTACCATTTGTTGCCATATTTTTAGCTGTCAAATAATATTTCGAGGAGAGTTCAATATATCTTTTGAGGTCAGCTGCTACTGTCGACATGAAATACACTATTGATGAAAATGGTCGGTGTTACGCATATGGCAGCCAGATCTGATTTCTAGCAGATAGGCGTATGGTACATATATGCATATGCACATATAGATCTTATTTTCGGGCGATGAGCATGAACCTTGCCTAATCAAACCTATTCGAAGCTATTTGAGTGTGGTATCATCTTCTCGTGTCGAGACGCTGCCGTCATGTTTATACCACCATGCAAACGCACAGCACCAATTAGGATTTTTTCTACTGTACGTGTAGTCACTTTCGATGAAAATACTATTAAGGTTAAGAAAGATCAAAGCAGACTATGTATAATACATTCAACCGAATCATGATCGATGCAGGACATCATTGATGGCTATGTATTTGATTTATAAATGTGATCTGTTGTGTCTGATATTGTTAAACATATCTTTGTATGATGCACTATTGTTAAGATTTTCTCTGATGAAGGTGTTGTATGATATCATCAACATCAGTAATTTAATTAGATATAATTGGCATGCTGATAACAGCAGGTGAATTTACACATGCAACCAACCATTTACGCATTCAAAGGAAGTGTCTGAATACTTGCAAAAACTTTGTAATGTTGAAATTTAAGAGGTTCTGTTAAATATATATGATTATATGATGTAACTATACAATAGATACAAGCAACATTTGAGGTATCCAAAAGGAATAACAATTATGTATCATCCACTCAGCACAATTAGCTAAGCATAGTGTCATCTAAGTTATCTCTGCATTTATGCAGTTTGATGAACTTGGAGCTCGATGCTTATTTTGATTAAAGTGGATATAGGATGCTAATTCTACTCCAATTTATAGTTCTATTGCAAGAAAAAGTGTATTGTATGGATATAAACTCAAAAAAAGTATTTAGATTTTAGTATTTTAACTATTGGCAACGGAATCATATCAAGTGATGCTAGCCTCTATTCGTCATGTCCAGGCACTCTCTGTTTCATGGTAATCCTGCAGAAGATTGACAATATCTTTTTCGAATATATTTGTTATTTCAACACAGTATGAAGGGTTACTTAATTTTGATGTTGACAATTGAATTTGTGTGTAACCTACACATGGCATATTTTTTTATATTCAATAGTTTTGTAATAAGATATTACTATCATCATTACAGTAATTTATCTCAGTCTCTCTTTTGTGTCGGTTTAATACCCTATCTTTAAAACCAACAGATGTCTGTTAAAGCAATATTCATACATTTATAGTTCATTTCTCCTTAAGGGCTCCTATTCCAGATTGTTTTATGTTAGAATGAGGACTTTGACATTTATGTAATAAAGCACAATTGCTAATGAGAGTGCTGTATTCTTGCTCAGAATCTCATAAAATTGATATTATTTTGTGTGAAGAGATGATACTGTATCGTGACATGATGTCTGTTCTGAGTCTCTTCTAATTCTACATCTTTGTTGTACCTGTTCAGCAGACAACACTGGCTGATACCCATATATGCCGCTTGTATACTGTTTTGGATTGTCAGGATTCTTAGATATTTCTGTGGTTTTGTCTGGAATGTAATATGCTTGGGAAAGAAAGAGGGAGAAGAAAATTTATTTGTATTAGCCCAATCAAGAGTAATGCCATGCTTACAGACATTTCTTGTTTTTACACATATATGGCTCCACAAGTACTTATTCACCTGTTTACCTTATTTCTTTGATTTTTGGAAAGCTTCTTTTTTATCATTTTATTTCCTTAAATTTTGTTAATATTTTGATAACAATTTCATAATTATAATGTCAGTAAGAATAATAACAGTATCAATATATGTATGTGTGTGTACATGTGTCTGTCGTATATACATGTATATGTATATGCATATGCATGTATATGTATATGTATATGTGTATATGCATGTATATTTATATTTATATATCTGTATATGTAAATTATTGTAATAAAGCACAATTGCTAATGAGATGTATACTGGTGTATTACTGTATC